CCCAAGCGCCGGTGCCGGCCCAGGCCCGGGCCGCCCGGCCGGCTCCTCGCCGGGCTTCCTGTGGAGCCGGACAAAGGACATTTCCTGGGAGGAGCGGACTGTTCCCAGCATGCCTCGAGTTGTAGTTCCCGAGGACTTCCTGCCGCCGCGGCCGGACGGGGACCCCGGGCTGGGAGGTGGGACGGGGAGCCCCGCGGGCGGCCGCCCCGGAGCTGCCGCCCTGGCTGTAGCCATCGGGACGCGTGCGCGTGTGCGTGTGTGTGCGCGTATATGTGTGTGCATGCGTGTGTGTGCGTGCATGTGTGTGCGTGCATGCGTGTGCGCGCGTGTGTATGCATGCATGTGTACGTGCATGCGTGTGTACATGCATGTGTGCGCGCGTGCATGCGTGTGTGTGCGTTTGTGTGTGCCTGCATGCGTGTGTGTGCCTGCATGTGTGCGCGCGCGTGTGTGCCTGCATGTGTGTGTGTGCGCGCGCGCGCGTGCAGCCCCCCCCCCGGGAGCCGCCCCGAAGCTCCTAGGGCTCGGGCCACACCGCCCACGCTGGCTGGGGGTGGGGGGTTGGTTGGAGGCAAGTGGGGATGCTGTCTGCCCCGCTGGCTTTGAACCTGCAGCCTCAGACCTCAGGAGCCCGGTTTGAGGAGGGTCGTCGTCGTTGTTTTCCTCTTTGTCCTGTCCCGAGGATCAGCGGAGAGAATCCGATCGCTCACCGGGCATCCAGACTCCCGAGGATCTCAGGGAGCTGATGGTTTCCAGACCCCCCTCCCACGCTGGCCTGGGTCCAGCAACTATTCATCTGGTCGTATAATACTAATTGAAACGAACTCCAGGAATGGAAACATGAGGGTTGCTTTTTATTTTTCCTTCGTTGCTTTCTTTCCTCTTCTTTGATCTGCTGTCTTTGGGAGGGGAAGGGAGCACAGAAACGGAGGGACAGAGGGCGAATGATTGCAGCTGAGGTCCTCACTAGACACTGTTGAAAATTAACTCTACAACCTGTGGGTGGGGATGGGAGGGAAAACGGGGAGAGAGCCTGGGAAGGGGTGACGTCGTTGGAAAAGACTTATGGGACTGAAACCTCTGCTTACATCACCTTTATAATAACAGTAAAACAAAAATTTTAAGTTTTAAAACTTCTTTAAAAGAGAGTCAGCAGGTGTCAGTGGATGACATTTATAATCCTAGCCCTTCAGAGGCTGAGATCTGAAAATCGCAGCTCGAAGCCATCCCTGGTGGGAAAATCCATGAGCTTCTTCCTAGATTGAAGCCCGTTTGTGTGGTGTTGCCAGCACCAAGCCCTCCGCCACTTCCCCTCTTATATTTCTGACTTCTGCTCAGGATACTTAAAAGTTTTACTCAGTAGTCAGAAGTCAGTGGCCCACCCCTGTAATGCTTAGATCTGAGATCTGAGAGTCACAGAAGCCAGCCCTGGCAGGAAAGGTCATGAGACTTTCATTGCCAATTAACCAGCAAAAGGTTCAAAAGGTTACGAGTGGAGGTATGGCTCAGGTGATAGAATGCCAGCCAGCCTTAAGCAAAAAAGCTAATCCACAGCACCCAGCCCCAGGACCCTGTATGCACACACATATCGCCCACTATTCTTAACCCTCTCTGTTCCCAAGAGAGGAGGGCATAGGGGTAGAGAGACAGGATGCAGATGGTAGATGCACACTTAAGGTGTGGAATTGGTTGTGATGGGTAACTGGAAAGGACTGGAATCACATGTTTTTCTTTAAGACCAGAGATCTTGGGACATTCAAATGTCCAGTGGGGAAATCAAGAAGAGAGAGACTGATGGTAAAGACAGGAAGGACATGGGGCTGGGAAGGTAGCTCAGTGGTAGAGTGCTTGCCTTGCATGCATGAGGCTCTGAGTTTGATTCCTCAGCACCACATAAACAGAAAAAGCCAGAAGTGGCACTGTGGCTCAAATGCTAGAGCACTAGCCTTGAGGTGAAGAGCTGAGGGACTGGCAGACCTTGAGACTCCAGTAGATTAACTACCCAAGGGCAGCTGAGATAAATGGCTTTCTTCCCTCCCATGTCCTTCCCCTTCCCCTGCTCTTGTCCCTGTTCCTCCTTCCCAAAACAACTTCAACTTTTCATTGTTCTGTTGTCATGGTTGTGAACAATCTGTCTGAACTCTACTCACCCATTCTCTTTCGCCCTCCCTTTTAGCCAACTCCCTCCCTTTGTGGCTCCCCTATTCTCTTTCTCCACCTCCTCTTAATTTTATTTCTTTTTACATTAAACA